AAAAAAAAAAAAAAAAAAGGAGCATATATTGTAATCATCAAAATTTGTTTTTGGTTCCATGTAATTTCCACCATTAAAATTCTCCCTTCTTCATCAGCGTAAATTTGTTTTGGGTTCATCTTTTCTTTTATGTAGAAAGCTATCCCTCTTTTCTTTTGCTGTGCCAGAGGAAAAAAAAGTTTACCTATCTTTGGTTGTTCTAAAATTCTAGAATGTTGTCTTTTAATATGTGTCTCTTGAAGGAAAATTATGTACATTTTCAACTTTTGTAATCTATTAAATATTTTATTCCTTTTTGATGGGGAGTTATGACCATTTATATTTATTGAAAAAATTCCAATCTCCTCCATAATTTCAATTGTGTTTAGACCTCAATCTTCTAGGGAGCTTATCTGCCTCTGGTCTTTTGGTCTTACATCTTCCTGTCAAGGTTCCGACTAATGAAACATTTCAAAGAACTTCCAGGCATTGTTTATTCTAAAAGGCTTTATTAACAGTATAACAGATTGTCGGCACATCATAGATGGATGCCAAGATCTGAAGTCTCCACCCCCAGAGCAGTTATTTTTGCTAGCATTTTCCCTCCCTCTTTTGCTGTCATGAGTTACGTCCTCCAACCAGCCTGGGGGGCAAAGGTTAACTTCCTTCTGAAGCCCGCACAAATTGCTCTCTCTCTCCATTCTCATCTGAGTTAATTCTAAAAGTGCCAGACAGTTCTGCATATTTTGTCAAAGCAAGAATATTCAATATTAGCAGCATTGACACTTCCTCTGATTGAGTCTTTTTTGGTTCGCCCTCCTCCATTTGTTTCGGTGCTCCTGCACCCATCGTTTCCTCCGGTTTCTTGGATTCAAAGTCACCTTTTTCTAAAAAAGCTCTGTGATTGTTATAAAATTCCTCTGCTTGAATTGGAGTATCCAATCTATATTTTTTTTCGAGTCCCAAAAAATTAATAAGCCTTCTGGGACCAGCCATCTAAAATTCACTCCCTTGTTAAACAGTTTCCTCGTTAAAAATTGATATTCTCTTTGAGCTTCTCTTATTCTTCTGGGAATCTGTTTAAGAACTACAAGTTCTTTATCTTTGTATTTCAGTGGTTGGTCTTTTATTGCTCTCAAGGTCTCGTCACGTATAAATCTTTTAAGAAATCTTACATGGACTTCCCTAGGAACTCTATTTCTTCTTGCATAGCTTGAATTAATTCTAAAAACCTGATCTATTTCTCATTTCATTTGGTCCATTTCCATTCCAAGCAATTCCGCTAATAACTCGTTCATCAGCTCTAACAGGTTCTCATCCTTTTCTTCTATAATATTTTGAAATCTTAAAAAGTGTGATGCGCTCTCCATCTCCATAATGGCCATGCTGTCTTCCAATTCTGCGTTAGCTTGCGCCAATCTCTGATTTTTCTCTTCCAAAGCTTCACTTTTCTAATCCACCACCACTGACTTATTTTCTATTTTTTGCATTCTTTGTTGGGTGTCTGCCATTGCTTGTTGAAAGGTTTTCATTTTTTGATCCATTTTAAGGTGATCATTTTTCAAATCTTCATAATTTTTTTTCCAAATCTTTTTCATTTCCATTTTAGAATCTGCAATTGCTTGAAGTATGGCTTGAGTGTCCTTTTGTTGAGTTTCCTATTGTAAAAATGCAGTAATAGATTTTTGGAGGGCTGGACTCACCGAGGTTGAAGCGGGGGCTTGAGTCTTTCTTAGTTTCTTTCAATTTTTGTAAGCATCTGGTTCTTCTTCAATGACTTGCTTCTGTGTTATATTTAAGTTTTAGTTTCCTAATTAGTACTTTCAGTGAAGTGTAACATTTGCTGGAAATCAGAGGTGTGTCAGTGGCAGGAATCATATAAAATGTGAATTAAACTATAAAGCCATATGATAGCTGTTTGTTATGCTATTTAAGAACAAAAAATCCAACTCCTGCCTTTAAAGTAGGGGAAAATAGCCCCAAATCCCAAGCCCATCCTTGCACATGATATGATTATTTCCAAATTGCACCATTATATATTGTAGATTCTGAACCAGTAAAAATATTAAGTGAAGTCCCCGATCACCAAAAGATTATCTAGTCATATCTTAAATTAGATTTGTGGTTTGAAGGGTGCTTACTGATATATATTGTAACTAAACAATCAAATGACAGCCATACCATAAAGTACTTTGTTTTGGCTAACACGAGACAGATACATTTGGTGGCATCTGGATTAGATTTATGCAGTCTGTAAGAGCAGGGCAAGTTGTTAATTGGAACTGGTTTTTAGATCATCTTTTACATTTCTTAAATTGCACAAGCTAGCACAACATTTTTCTAATAAAAAATGCTAGTACCTGTATTCAAAACTCCAAATGTATTTTGAATGAAACTTCTGTTGCATGAGCCAGCTTAAATACTAAGACTGCAGTGGCAAACTTGTCTGAATATTGTTTTGTCTGATGGGAATGGAGCAAAAATAGTATTTTCATCTATTGTGTTTTGTTTATTAAATGTTCTATCTAGGAAACCTGAAGTCTAGGATTAGTGTTCTATTTTGAACAGATTGGGGAGTTGTGGAATTATTGAATAGAATAGAATAGAGAATAGAGCTGGAAGGGACCTTGGAGGTCTTCTAGTCTAGCCTCCTGCTCAAGCAGGAGAACCTATACCAGTGATGGCGACCCTATTAGAGACCGAGTGCCCAAACGGCAACCCAAAACCCACTTATGTATCATTGGGTGCTGGGTGGATGTGGCCCATTGGGTGGATGTGGCCCATTGGGTGGGCGTGACCAATTAGATAGGCATGGCTGTGGTGGTAATGGCAGATTGGGTGGGATTAAAAAGTTCTATCAATTCCAACTTTGCGAGATCTTTTTTTTCCCCGTGAGAAGTTGAAATTGATTGATTGAACCTCTTCTTTTTTTTTTGCACACAGTGGCAAAGGCCTAAAGCTAAAAGGTTTTATAAAACCCAGCAGAGAGGGCTCTGCGTGCTTTGCCACCACAGACCTATACCATTTCAGATAAGTGACTGCCTAGTGTCTTCTTAAAAATCTCCAGGGATTGAGTGCCCATGACTTCTGGAGGCAAGTTGTTCCACTGGTTAATTGTCCTCAATGTTAGGAAGTTTCTCCTTAATTCCAGGTTGCTTCTCTCTTTGGTCACTTTACAACCATTGCTTCTTGTCTTGCCCTCTGGTGCCTTGGAGAATAGTTGCCCTCTTCCTTATGGCAGCCCCTCAAATACTGGAATACTGCTATCATGTCGCCCATTTCTTGAATAGAATAGAATAGAGCTGGAAGGGACCTTGGAGGTCTTCTAGTCCAGCCCGCTGCATCAGCAGGACTATACCATCTCAGAAAGGTGATTGTCCAGTCTCTTTTTTAAAACTTCCAGCGATGGAGCACCCACGATTTTGGGGGGTAATCTGTTCCACTGGTTGACTGTCCTCACTGTCAGGAAGTTTCTCCTTAATTCCAGGTTGCTTCTTTCTTTGATCAGCTTCCAACCATTGTTTCTCGTCCTTCCTCTGCTGCTCTGGTGAACAACCTGGCCCTCTCTTCTTTGTGGCAGCCCCTCAGATACTGGAACACTGCTATCATGTCTCCCCTATTTCTTCTTTTTTTTAGACTGGCCAAACCCAAGTTCCGCAGCCGTTCTTCATATGTTTTGGTCTCCAGGCCTTTGATCATCTTAGTTGCTCTTCTCTGAATTTTTTCCAGATTCTCAGCATCTTTTTTGTGACATGGTTACCAAAACTGGCTGTAGTATTCGAGGTGTGGTCTTACTAGGACTTTATAAAGTGGTACTAATACTTTGCGCAATCTTGATTCTATGCCTCTGTTTATGCAACCCAGGATTGTATTAGCTTTTTTGGTTGCTGCTGCACACTGCTGGCTCATAGTTAAGTGATCATCCACCAGGACTCCAAGGTCCCTCTCATAGTTACTGCCTCCAAGCCAGGTCTCGCCCAATCTGTATTTGTTCCTTTGGTTTTTCCTGCCTAAGTGTAAGACTTTGCTTTTCTCCACTTTGAAACTCATTTTGTTGGATAGGGCCCATTGTTCGAGTTTGTCAAGATCTTTTTGGATCCAGAGCTTGTCTTTTGGGGTGTTGGTTATTCCTGCAAGTTTGGTGTCACCTGTAAATTTGATGAGTTCCCCTTCTATTCCCTTATCTAAGTCATTTATGTAGATTTGAAGAGTACTGGGCCTAAGATGGAGCCTTGTGGTACCCCACTGCTTACTTCTCTCCATGTGGATGTAGTGCCATTGAGGATTATTTGATGAGTATTGGATGATATACAGATATTTTAAGTAAGTAAGTAAGTAAGTAAGTAAGTAAATGTAAGTAAGTTAGTAAGCAAGCAAGCAAACAAACAAACAAACAAACAGACAAACAAACAAATAAATGTGAAGTATATACAGTATGAACAGGATCTGGAGTGACCACAAGCATACAGAAAAGACGCTGCATTTTCAGTTGAACATATAGTTTCTGCTTACCAACATACAGCTGGCTATAGAGTTCTAGTCGAGTGTGGCCTTCAGTGGGAGCCTTCTGGATCTCTCTGGGGAACTGATCTACTTGCAGGCTGGCTTCTTTGACATTGCGCTCTGCAATCACTTGATGCCACTGATCGTCAGTGAGCGGATGGGGTGACTTGATAATAATTTCTACTGGGCCATTTCCAACATTAAATGAGAAAGATACATCTGTGGCAGCTGATGAGAGAAGGTTAGAGAAATATAATTTAATACAGATTCTGCTAATTTTGTGATTTTTTTTTTTAAAAAAGATCTCTACTTGCAATTAGGTTTATTTTAATGGAATTTACAGTATAGATTTTGAATAATAATCTACTGAATGCAATATCCATATAACAATTAATTCAGGTGATAAAAATGGCTTTAGTCATTTAGTTATTAAACAGGATGATTGTTAGAACTTGATCAGGACTAAGTGTATTCCAGGGGAAGTACGTTCCAATGTATGGGGCTATAGCTGAGAAAGCCTATCTTCTCTTGCCTACAGTTTACAGACTTTTAAGTAACCATCAGCCAGCCCTTCCTGTATGTTCAGACCATATAGGCACTCACATTTGAAAAGGTTTTTGTTATCTACCAGTGTTATGTCTTATTGAGCCTCAGACTTGATTAACACCTTGAATTAGACCTAGCAATCAAGACAGCAACCTCAAAATGGGTGTGTCTCTTGAGGGCAACATAGGATGTAATACTCGAAACATGGGTTTTGTAGTACTGTTGCACTGGCTAACTAACATGAGCTTTCTTGTATTTTAAATTTGCTTTTTTAACTGTATTGCTAATAATTTCCCATAAGCCTTAACCTTCAAAAATGCCTCTCTTTCAGAAACCAGGACTGGCAGGAAAGCATTCAATACATTGTAGATAACAGCTTCCTTTTCGTCTGTTCTCAAGTCTCCATGAACAAAGAAAACAGTCCAGCTCAGCCTTGAGAAGCACTGAGAATGTATCTTACCCATACTCATGTTGATGTTTTTCCTTTGCAAATGTTTCTTTTACTCAGAATATAATGCTCTTTTCTATGGCTATACTCACATATTATGAGATGACTTAATCCTTGAAATGCAACTGAACAGATGACTATTTCTAAACTAATCAACTTTTGCTTTGAAGTTCTTAGATGTGCTGTCTATAAAAGTAATTGTAATTCATTTTCCCTGGTTCCCCCTTTTCATAGGGAGACCCCACTTTATCTAATAAATTGGTTTTAAATGATCTTCTGCTTGGTTACTTATTGGAAAAGATAAACTGAGGCAGAATCTAGAACCAGATTTGACCAACATTGTACAGTCCCACTAATTGTCCTCCCTTAAAGAAGTATTTACTATCTCTTAGCCACACACAATATGGCATCTGAAGAAGGAAGGAAAGCGTGGATCAGTCCTTGATAAGGAACCCTATCTATTTACACAAGTTCTAAAGACAGCATTACAATACACTACTCTGTTCACCACAATTGGCACACCCAATCCACATAAAAAATGAAACAACCACTTTATCCACATGAAAATCTGCAATATTATCTAGATACCCCTATATCCTTTCCTAAAAGAGCAGAGTTGCCTGTTAGGAATCTTCAAGCACAGAAAGTTTGAATGTGAGTGTTATCACTGCTCAGTTGCATCTAGTTTGCTTTAATTTACTGTTAAAATATAGAAATAAGGTTTTAATAGTATGAAATCTTCTTACACATTAAAGTAATGTGATTATAAGACAGACACAGACTTCAACGGATAGTTAGAACTGCAGAAAAAAACAACTGCTACTAGCCTGCCTTCCATTGAGGATCTATATATTGCACAAGCCAGAAAGAGGGCTGTGAAAATATCTACAGACCCCTCACATCCTGGACATAAACTGTTTCAACTTCTTCCCTCAAGATGACACTATTGGGCATTGCATGCCAAAACAACTAGACACAAGAACAGTTCCCCCCCCCATGCCATAACTCTGCTAAACAACTAATTCCCACAACACTGTCAAACTACCTAGTAAGGCTGTATTACTATTCTTCTTCTCATCTTTCCTATTTCCTATCTCCTTATCTTTGTTGTTTGTATCTTACAATTTATATTAATTGTTTTATTTAGTATCCTATGATCTCTGTTGATTGCTTATTTAGTATCCATGACCATCACTGAGTGTTGTATCTTATGATTTATGATGAATGTTTTTTATGATTATAATCATGATTTATCACTTGTTACTTGTATGTACACTGAGAGCTTATGCACCGGAGACAAAATTCTGTTCTGTTTTGTTTTGTTCTGTTCTGTTCTATTCTTCATGTAATAATAGTCATAAATTTATGATGGGACCTTTTGTTATAGGCACCTAGTTAATGAAGAGCAAAGTTACTTCTGTTGAAAAATACAGAATCTAAAGTATATTAATAACGTTAGCAGGAGTTTCTGCCAATCTCTTTTGTATTTTTCAAGTCTGTATATTATATAAGAATATTTATTATTAAAAAGTTTAAAAGGAAAAGGGTTGGAAAGTATACTTTCATTTTTATTAATTCTATACTAATTGTTTCATTTATGGAAATCTTGTTTTCTTTGTGATATAAATTGAAAAATACTATTTTACTGCTATGCTATTTATAGTTTAAAATATATTGTTTTTTCATATTATCAAAGTCTACAATTATATAAAATATATAAAATACAGTACATTGATTTACTAAATCATTTTTATGATCATTTTTATTATAAACCTCAGTTTTTAGGTCTTAAGTCCCATGCTATTTGTATCTAAATAAAAGATCTATTAATATTGTTTTATCTCACTTTTTGGGGAGGACAGGAGTTGCAAAGGTTGCAAAGCATACTCTAAAGTATTCAGTCTTGCACTAGATCAATAAATAAGTTCATGAACATATTTTAACAAATTATAACACACTAACCATGACACATTTTAACTCTTTCATGTTGGAATCCTGATGATGACCCTCTGAGTTTTTACTTGGTAAATGAGTTACATTTTTAATAATTAATAATTAAAATTAATAATTAAAATCATGGGAAAAATTATGCATCCTAAGTATCTGTACAAGAAAGCAGTTGGCTTCTATATTTTACTTTTTGATGTAAAACAAAAGCAAAAGAGCACAAAACCCTCAAATATTCTGTTGTAAAACATTTCATGATAAAGATATATTCTTTCTGTTTTAATTTTTTGGATATGAAACTCTCCAGTCCTATGAAGTAACTCATTTACTGCTTTGACTAAATGTTCTTATTTTTGTTTTGTTTTTTAAATACTGGGCTTCATTTGTTTTTGGCATTCTAAGATATACTGTGTTCCAAATAACATGCCTCAAAGTGTCCGTTTTTCCTGTTTCTTTTTTTGGAGTGGGGACAGACAGTGACATAGATTAGATAAACTAAATAATGACTTGCTGCTTACAAGCAAATGTGTCGAGCTCTATCTGTGCATTGCTAACATGATGTTCAGACTTGCAAAGAAGTAGAAAACCACTTGCATGCATCCGAGGTCCAAACACTGGCATCTACCTAACTGTATGTCAGTGAGATATTAAAGACATCACCATCATCTGTACCATGTGGGAAGCTAAGTCTGTCCAGTCCTAAAATATCTCAATATTAAGGTCAATTATTTTGTCTTTTAAAAACTAGAAACCTTTTCTAATATGATCAGGGTTCTTCTCCTCCGCCAAGTTGTCAGTTGTGAAATCCTTGCCATTTTTTTTTACTGTTCATAAACTTCTGAGAAGTTTATTTGTTATTTATATTATACAATCATAATGATGAGCTCAAGGCAAATTTTATGACAATGTTTCATGGTATAATCTGAGCATTTAAATTCATCATTGGGAATCATAGATCAAACATGACAGAAAAAAATAGATAAAAGAGAGTCGAATCCATTGCCAATAGCATTGTAATAGGACTCAGGAATGTCTCAGATCAATATTCCCTATTATGTTAAATCAGTATGACATGCAGTATTGTTCTATATTCAATTACTCTTTCCCAATATAAGTTTGGTACTTTAGCCTGAATCCTGATTTTTATAATGGCAATAATATTTTTTGTGCAATTCATTTGCATTTTATATTATTTATTGACCTAAAACTACAATAGGAATTCAGAGAATTGTAAGTCTAAAGTAATGCTTCATGAAAGATTTATTGAAACATTTTTGAGTGCTAAAGTATTTTATGTATATTATTGCAGCAATTATTATAGGATAATATATAGCAGACTATTATTTTTTATTTCTCCATTGGAATGTTTAAAGCTATCTACACCACAAACTTTGATATTTTATTTCCTAGCTGCTAGCTTTATATATTTTAAAAATGCATGCATCTTTTTTTGTATTTAGGTGTCTGTTGATTTTGTGCATAATATCCTTTGCTGCCAGCTTACCAAAGCAAGCAGAATAATAATAATAATAATAATAATAATAATAATAATAATAATAACAACAACAACAACAACAACAACAACAACAACAACAACAACAACAACAACAACAACCCCCAGTGAGGCAATGGCTAAGAGCAGGAAAATTGAAGAAAGAGACCGAGGGACTAATTCTGGCTGCACAAGACCAAGCCTTAAGGACAAATGCATACAAAGTCAAAATTGAGAAGACAGCAATAGACAGTAAGTGCCGCCTATGCAAAGAAGCTGAAGAAACAGTGGACCACCTGGTAAGCTGCTACAAGAAGATCGCACAGACTACAAGCAGCGGCATGACAAAATAGCAACAATGGTGCATTGGAAGATCTGCAAGAAATATCATTTGCCTGTAAGCAAGAACTGGTGGGATCATAAAATAGAGAAAGTCATAGAAAATGATAAAGTTAAATTGTTCTGGGACTTCAGAATTCAAACAGACAAGCACCTGCAACATAACACCCCGGACTTAACAATTGTCGATAAGAAAGACAAAAAAGTCTGGATAGTGGACGTGGCAGTGCCTGGAGACAGCAGAATAGACGAGAAAGAACTGGAGAAGATGACAAAATACAAAGCCCTACAAATAGAAATAGAAAGACTGTGGCAAAAGCAAGCAAGGGTAGTACCAATAGTAATAGGTGCCTTGGGTGCAATCCCAAAACAACTTGAGCACCACTTGAATACCATTGGCATTGACAAATTCGCCATTAATCAATTGCAAAAGGCAGCCTTACTAGGAACTGCTTT